GCTCGTACTGCCTGTCCTCTAGTACGTCACTGCCAAGGGCAGGTGCACCCCCAACGGGCGTAGGACGGGTAGGGTCAGAGACCAGAGCGGTAGCGTAGTCAAGGCGGCGGGTAGAGGCAAAGTCAGCGACAGCAGCAACAAGCGCGTCAAGGCAGGAGACAGGAACAGACGGGTCTGTAACAAGAGAGGCAAGGACCCGAGGGACAAGGGGACTAGCGGCATGGAGGTAGTCAGACAGCGGGGGAGGTGCAACAACGAGCGACGAGGGAGGAAGCGAGGGAAGGAGGGGAGGACGAGACGAGTGAGAACGGAGTAACATAGGATGGGAGCGCGGGATAGGGGAGACGGGACGAGCACGGGAGGGACGGCGAGACCAAACGTGGGACGGAGGGGTAGGATCAGGAGACAGCGGAGGTGACACAAGGGGGGAACGAGGAGGAAGACGGGCCGGAGAAGAGTCCGGGGGCGGGAACACAGGGCCGTAGGCAGGAAAGTGAGGAGGGGGTGGAGGAGACACCGGCGAGCGGTCAGGGGAGGGAAGGCTGAGCAGGCGAAGAGCGGAGACCGGCGGCGACGACTGCGGCGGCTGCTGCGGCGCCTAGTGCTCGACCCTCAAACCGGCAGGGGCACGACGACCTCCGGGAGAACACTCAACAGCAGCACCCCCAGAACCAACACCCCCAGAGCGAGAACCCTCTCCAGCCCCAGCGGCACCCCCAGGCACGCCGGGACAAACCCCACCAGGAGCCGCAGGACGAACACCCTCCTCGGCGCCAGCACCCCTAGAGGCCAAGTGCGGCGGCGGCGGCGGCGGTGGCGGCGGCGACGACGGCGGCGGCTGTGACAGCGGGGGCGGAGACACTAGGGATGGAGGACGCGGCAAAGGCAGGGCGGGGGGACCACCAGAGTCAGGAAACTCCTCAACCGGGACAACTGACGGGAGGGGAGTGACATGGGAGACACCAGACGGGGCAGGACGCAGCGGGAGGGGAGGAGGGGCTACCAGGGGAGAGGGAGCAAGGAACAGGGGGGGGGAAACCGGGAGACCTCGGTGAGGGAAGCGACGGTAGAAGGAGACGGACTCGTCAAAGGTGACGTCACGAGAGTGGAGGAAGCGGTGAGACTGTGGGTGGTAGAAGAGCCAGTCAGACGAGTCCAGGGGGAAACCAAGGAAGACACAGGGGACAGTGCGGGCAGTGAGCTTGTCCGTGCCAGAGGCACGAACGTGAGCAAGGCAGCCCCAGACGTGGAACGCAGACGGGTCACCGGGGGACCCAGTCCAAAGGAGGGTCGGCGAAACCTGCGGCCGCTGGGAGCGTGGCCACAGGTTAAGCTGGTGAGCGGCGTAGCGAACGGTGAACGGCCACAGAAAATGGGGTGCACTAGCATGCATCATGGAGGTACGAGCCACCTCCATGACCAAGCGAATGCGGCGCTCAGCAACCCCATTCTGCTGTGGCGAGTCCGGCAAGGTGTACGATTGGGTGATGCCCTCCGCACGACAAAACTGTCCAAGCTGACCAGAAGCGAACTCTCCGCCATGGCCAGAGTGGAGACACAACACGGGGAGACCGCAGTGAAGACGCGCAGCCACAACCCACAGGAGAAGAACGTCGGGCACATCTGCCTTCCGCTCCAGGGGAAACACCGTGGTGTAGCGCGTGTAGTCGTCGACGAGTACAAGAAAGTAGCGCTCGCCACGCGGTCCGGGGACGGGGGCTGGGCCCCAAACGTCCAGGTGCAGGGTCTGAAGGGGAGCAGTAGCAGGGCGAAGCGAGGAGGAGTGAGGGGCACGGCGGAGCCAGCCCTCGACGCAGGGCGTGCACGGTGGATCAGGCGAGAGGGGAAGGGCGGGGAGCGACACGGGGAGGCCTAAGACAAGACCGTGCTGGAACATGAGGCGCAGACGCGGGAGTGCAGGGTGACCTAGGCGGTGGTGCCACAAAAGGGACGGGTGAGTGAGAGACCGACACGAGCAAGCTGCAGCGACCTGGGAGGACGCACCAACCGGGGGGGAAGCGGTGTCTAGGGTGAACAGTCCGGACACCGGGTCCTGGGGGAACGTAGCAAGTGGGGAACCTGAGACAGCCTCAGAACAGACAGCGAACCGCTCGTGCCCGGGGAACGTAGTGGTGACGCCGAGGTCCTGAAGACAGCCGACACCAACCAGGTTCCTCGAGAACGAGGGAACGTGGAGGCCTGTAAGGGAGCCCGAGGGAACTGCTGGACAGGGAAGGGACGTGGAACTGCGAGCGACGACGGGACCCGTAGAGGGGTCAGCGAGAGAGACAACAGCAGGCGCAGCAAGCGGCGTAAGCGTGGAGCGGTCGCGGAAGAAATAGGTAGAAGCACTGGAGTCGAGAGTGAAGGACATCGAGGCATTGGCGGAGGCTGGGAACGGAGCCGGTGCAGAACCTAGGCTAGGCAAACTAGGCATTCCTACGCCTGACATAGCAGGGGAGGCTAAGCTACACAAGGGTGAGACACCTAAACAAGAGTACACAGGGTAATAAGATCCAGCAACACTAGAAGCGTCAGCATACAAAGCATGCAAAGCAACACCTATCTGATCCATATCTAACTTAAAGATCGGCACGCCCTGGCGAAGTAGGCTGTGCCAGTCGGGGAGGTCCGGGGTCGGGCCAAAGCGACGACGAAAGAGATTGTCGAGGCGGCGGAAACAGCGGGCGGTCGGGTGCGGGCGGCGGCACAGCGTGCCGCGGAGAGGCCCGGTCTGAAGCTGGTACTGGCTGGTCACAGCACTGGAGCTACCGGTAGACGCCAAGCTGCGCGGGCCACCACCTCGGCCACCACCGCCGGAGGTGCCGGGCCAACCAGGTGGGAGACGAGCCCACGGCTGCGACGGCTGCTGCTGGGACGGCGGCGGCTGCTGGTGGGGCTGCTTTGGCTGCGAAGGCGACTGCGTCTGCTCCTGCCCACCGGTGGTAGTCCCCTCAGGTGGACTACCGTCACCACCACCACTACCACCACCACTAGTGCCACCACCACGACCTCCCTGGCGGCCATGGCCACCGCGGCACGGACGCTGCTGCGGGTTGATCGCAGCTGCCGTCTTGGTAAGAGGGGTCGCTGTGGCGACCGCAGCCGAAACGTCAGTAAACGTGCACTGGGAGTGGGCACAGCCGTGAAAGGTAGAGACTGCCGGCGCACCGCTCGACTGAGCGATAGTGCGCTGGCGCGTCTCGATCTCGGTGAGGGTGTCGACAAAGGCGGTCAGTGTGAGGTCACCCGGGTGCTGGCTAAGGAAGCGGTCGCGGGCACTAGCTAGGCGGTCCGGCAGGCGCATGGCGATAAAGTAGAGGGTCATGCAGAATGGGGGGGGGGGAGCGCAGTGAGCTGGGCAACAGTGCTGGCAGTGCGATAGCGAGTCTCTAGGGCACGCAAGTGAGTTGCAAAGTTTGCGACAGTAGGGAAGGCAGCAAGGTTTGGGAACAGCATCGGGAAGAGCAGGCGGCCGGTAGAAGCGGATGCAGGTGTGGAATAGCGAGCAATAACAGCATCTAAATAAGCTTTGGCCGTATCAACTGTAGCGAAACGCGAGCGCTCAGACACAGGGAGGGCGTGACTGATAGCAACCTGAGTTACTGCATCGCGTGAGTCCCAGACCGCACAGGCAAGCGCAGCAGTAGAGAAGGCCTCACTCTCAGCGGAGGTGGGGTCAACAGGGAGGGGAGCAGGTGCAAGGGGGCGGGGGAGCAAGCCATCAGCATGGACAACCAGCAAGTGTCCATCCTGGTGCTGACCTGTAAGCTGACGGCGGAGATCGGAGAGCCAGGCGACGAAGTCAACCGCGTGGCCCTCAGCGTCCAGGCGGAGCACGAAGTCAGCCATCGTGCAGGGTCAGTGACACAGCTCCTCAGCGACACAGTGGCACAGCTCCACAGCTCGGCAGGAGTACAGCGGCACAGGGACACGGCGGCAGTACTCTCCAGTAGGGCGGCTGCGGGGCGCCCCGGCGCGGGCTAGCAGAGGACACGGGGCCCGAGGTGGCACGGCAGGCCGAGCATGCATGAGGAGGGGCCAGGCGAGCAGGAGGAGGGGACGGGCTGGCGCTGAAAACCGGGCAGGCGTGACAGGGCCGGGCTGGCGCTAGGAGGGGCCGGGCGGGCGCACTGGGACTGGCGGGCGGTAGGAGAGGCCGGGCGGCGCTAGGAAGAGGCCGGGCAGGTGCTGCTGGGGCCGGCTAAGAGCGGGCTCGACGGTCAGTGGGCTGGCCAGGGGCGGGCGCGAACGGCCAGTGGGGCCAGCTAGGGGCGGGCGCGAACGGCCAGAGGGCCGGCTAGGAGTGGGCGCGAACGGCCAGTGGGCCAGCTGAGGGCGGACGCAACGGCCAAGGGGCCAGCTGGGAGCGGGCGCGACGGCCAGTGGGGCCAGCTAGGGGCGGGCGCGACGGCCAGGGGGGCGGCTAGGAGCGGGCGCGAATGGCCAGGGGGCCAGCTGAGGGCGGACGCGACGGCCAGGGGGCCAGCTAGGGGCGGACGCGACGGCCAGGGGGCTGACTAGGGGCGGACGCGACGGCCAGGGGGCCAGCTGAGGGCGGACGCGACGGCCAGGGGGCCGACTAGGGGCGGACGAGACGGCCCGGGGGCCGACTAGGGGCGGACGCGACGGTCAAGGGGCCGACTAGGGGCGAACGCGACGGCCAGGGGGCCGACTAGGGGCGGACGCGACGGCCAGGGGGCCGGCTAGGGGCGGACGCGACGGCCAGGGGGCCGACTAGGGGCGGACGCGACTGTCAGGGGGCCGACTAGGGGCGGACGCGACGGCCAGGGGGCCGACTAGGGGTGGACGCGACGGCCAGGGGGCCGGCTAAGGGCGGGCGAGAGACTAGGGCGCGGGCGGAAGTGGGCGGGGGGACCTAACCTACTCGATACCATGTTAGAATACGTGAATGATTACTAGAAGGAGAAACCTAGAACATATACCTGTTGGGTTGTACTCACTAGAAGCACACACCTAGTCTAGCCTATAACTTCTACATAGAACATATGTATAAGTTGTCACTCGGGGCTCATGATCTGAATTCCAGGTCGTGCACTGGGGGAGAAAGTGTATGGCGAGCCGTGATATGGTAATATTAGAGAATGGATTGCTGAAATTCATGCCACTCACAAAGTTCCATATTGCTCCGTGCACTGGAATTAAGAAACGCCCTTGAGGGCTCTTAGCCTGAAGGTCATAGATTCGGACCAACAGTATTACAGTCTGATTACACAAGCATGTTAGGGTTTTTTGCAGACACGTCAGGAATAATAATGATAATAGTAGTAGTAGTAGTAGTAGTAGTAGTAGTAGTAGTAGTAGTAGTAGTAGTAGTAGTAGTAGTAGTAGTAGTAGTAGTAGTAGTAGTAGTAGTAGTAGTAGTAGTAGTAGTAGTAGTAGTAGTAGTAGTAGTAGTAGTAGTAGTAGTAGTAATAATAGTAATAATAATAATAATAATAATAACAATAATAATAAAACACGCTCAGCTTTCCGCCTCTACATGCCTTGGAATTTGGAAGTTCAAATTGTCGTGCCAACAATCTCTTGGTCCTTCAACATGGGAGGAGGTTTTCCTTGCTATCCCCTGCATCATCCGTATGACGACTGATAAGTTTTTTTCTACCTTCCACTTCTTACCCACGCGCGGTTTCTCTGCAAGATTCTACTATTCGTCGACAGCCCCGCTTGCATTTGGGCCTACTTTGATGGCAACATGAAATATCCTAAAACAGGCACAGATTAAGACATGAATTTACTACGAGCATTCCATAATGGCGTACACTTTGCAATCTCTCACCTTCCAAGTAACTTGGCATTCCATCCTTCAAGGCTTCCATTTCTCTAGCATTCTACGCTTCAGGTTATTTGCGCATGATATATCAAGCATCGGTAAAGTGGAGCCAACTGTTAAGGCAATAAATGACCATACAAATGCTTTTCGAAGAGAAGGTGGAAGCTATCAATCGATGCAGAAACCTGAGAGACTAGCTGGGGAAATGCGAAGGACAAATCAGTAGTGAATTCCTCCTAGCAGGACTTTGATCCGAATAGCGACAGTGCAAGTCCCTTCTGTGCTCTCAAGGAAACATCTATGAAACTACTCTATGCAGGACACTCATAGTAAAACAATAGAACCTTGACCTGTAAAATGTCAAAAAAGGAAGAAACATAGACAAGTTCAGTTTCTACATCATCGATCAAGGGGAGCAGGTAAGAGGAACAAAATGATTCTGCAAGTTGTGTAAGAAAACATCAAATAATATCAAACATTGTCTCAACTCAACATGCAAAAGGCATTTTAATCATCAACTCCATCATTGGCCCTCACTGAAAAGGCATTCGGTATTGGTCACAATGAAGAAAACACAGAAGCTGCAGCAAGGAAGGTCTTATACCATAACCATGAATGAAGAGAATCATCGCTATTGTCCTGGACCAGAGACTCTACCACAACCTATCAAAATCGATGAAGAAGAAACTGAAGCTGAACGTCTTGCTGTGCCACAACAACTCAATGTGTAGCTGTATGCCCACATCGCGAGTATCCTCTCGACATCCATACTTGGTTCTATGATTGTTGTTGCAGATATCATAGGGCATCAGCTAACGGATATCTTCTCAACCGGTGCTTCCTGCATCTGACAAAAAGAACATCACAATCACAATCAATAAAAAAAACGACTGAAATGGGAAACGTCCTACCGGAGTCTAACAATACAGGCGTTTCCTTCATCATCAATTTAGATTGCATGATGACCAAGCCATACCTGGAGCAAGAAAACCAAACAGGAGAACCTGATTGGACCTGGCGAGAAAAGAGACAGTATGTTAATTCTGTGGTTTTCACTTAATGCCTCAGTTGGTGACAATCAGCGTGTCATCTCATAATTGTGATGCGACAAATCTTTATCGGCATGACCACTGTGATCTGAATGTACTTCATGCCACACCAAAGCCATCTTGGACAAATTTGTCTGAATTAGAGCCGGTCGTCGAAGAACATGAACCTTCACAACAGTCAGCAAGATGGGGGACAACACTAAGAAGAGATGGACAAACATGTGCTACATGTTATGCACCCGCCAATGTTAATTATGCTTTGACAATCCACCGGTTGCCAACTTTCTTTGTTAGCTCTGAGTTTTAGCTGTGCTGAAAGGGAATCAGAGCTCCCGCAAAACCTGGCATTGGCATCCCTCAACGAAAACCCTTACTAACTCATTTCGAGGCAGCATCTTCGACAAAAACGCCCCACTCCTATCAAATGGACAAAAACCTCGTCCCAGGATTTGACAGCTTGGGTGTGACGTCTGCCCTATCACTGGACTCACTCAAAGTTCCTACCCCCTTTTTTGTCCAAGTCCACGCGATTGTGCACCAATGGATGTTGCTTCTAGCGACATAGTCTTCATAACATCCAAAGCAGATAACATCGGTGGCAAAGAATCGTTACCTTGAGTGATACGTTACTGTATGTCTGGCACAATAACATCAGCCACAAGAGTGAAGCACACAATGGCTTCAAACTCAAGCAAGAAATGGTAGGAATGACAGTGGGTTTAAGTTTTGGAACAACTACTGGCAAACAATGCAAATGAGTACGAAATTGATGAGTTCAAGGATTGCTTGGGGAGAAAGGGGATTTTGAAGCGGATAACATTGCCCTCATATACCAGCAAGACGCTGTGCAGAACGGAGATGTGAGTCCTATTGCATGCACATGTGATGCGACAAACGAGCCACACGCGACAACATAGAAGAGCGTGCATGATGCTCAAACATCGTCTTGACACACGACTAGCGAAAGCTCGCTAATGTCTTGAAACACACAGACGTCATTGTGATATGCCATTCAAGTACACACATGAGCACCAAATAGCAATGCCATCAACTCACAAACCATTCTATGCCATGCATGCATGAACGAAAAATGACAAAAAGCCAAGTGCCATGAGGTTGCACCAAAAAACTTCCTCTTTCATTATTGGCCTTAGAATCTGCTCCCCTTAGTTCACAGCCATCTCAGCAAGCTTGCAATACTTCCAATGCTTCTACTCAACCATATTCTTGGTCATCATGTCAGCTGGCTGCGCCGTTATCTTCATATAGTACAACTCTACTTCACCCACAGCCAGCACGCTCCTCATCCAATGCCACTTCAACTTCATGTGCTCGGTAAGGCCATGAAGATCCAGGTTGTTAGCCTAGGTATCACAATAGAGTGGGGTAGGTCCTAGCTGCTATTCACCCAATTCAGCTAGCAAACGCCGCTTCCTCACAACCTCCCTTATGGCATGGAAGAGTGCCATATACCCGGACTCCTCCGTGCTCAATGGTTGCAGGCTAAGTATATGGCACTCAACAATGGAGTGAGCCGGTCCAGCAGTTGTAGATTCGCCATGGTACTTGGCCACTCTCTCTCCAGCTGCTACCTGCTCTTCATTGGGGCAGTTAACAGCCCTAGCCAGCTGGCTAGTAGCGAAGACTGCATCCGGCCTTGTGTGAACGGCCTCATACATGATGCTGCCAACCAAGGAGTGAAAACGGCGCTTCTCCCCTTCACCAATTCAATTTGCATTGGTCCCTTCACAAACTTGAACTTAGAGGCCAGAGGAGTGGCCACATGACCTTCAAACTACCCAAAGTTTTTAGCCAAGGTCTCAAGGAACCTTTATTGGTGCACACGCATCCACTGCTTCTCCACATCACGTTCAATGTGAAGTTCAAGACAGTAGATGATGTCACGAAGAGCCTTGCAATTGTACTTGTCTTGGAGATTCAAAATTACCTCCTTCAAGAGGTCAGTGGAGGGTGAGTGGATGAGAGGGAGGTGGATACTAAAATCAATCAGCCTCAGTAAATCCATTTAATCTCCTACTTGGAGCAGCTTTGGGGTAGTGTCTGATATGCTTGCTTGTTGTTTCCAACTTTTAGTGAATAATGGTTATGCATAACAAGCGGACGTTTCAATACTATGGAGCCAGAACTTGATAGCAAAGCCAGGCTCCAACCTAGAGCAGCTACTGGCATATGTGACAATCAGTGGTGAGTGAGGTTCCAGATCTTTCAAGAAACAAGCAAGCAAGAAGTACAGTGAAGGAAGGCATGTATCTGTGTTCAGGACGCACCTACAGATTTTAGTGCAGCGAGTATCATACATCAAGCAGCGGAAGGGGTCCCAATCTCCGTTCTTACAGTAAGCACAAATCGAGCACAACAAGGACAATTGCACGTGAATCAGGCATCGGGGAATCTCTGACCTACCGCCAGCCGCATCAGCGGAGACCACAACAGGAAGAGTTGCAGGAGCCTCGGATGAGGAGGGCTGTGACCAATTTGCTGTCAGGCAGACCGGGTAGAGGAGAAGAGGAAGAGGTGCGAGCACGATGGAATTTGACCACAAAAGAAATAGGAAAGGAGGGAAGAGAAGAGCTAGGCAGGTGGAAACCAAGAGCCTAAGCTTGAGTCGCCACACGGATTACAGAGGTAGCATGGAGCCTGCAAGTAGGCTAGCTGGGAGTGGCGCGGAGGACCAGCTGTCAGCAAGTCTTCGCGGATCAAGGACGGAAGCGGTAACGCAGCGACCTATGGCATCACCCTTCCAAAGCCTTACAACGAAGCATCGGGATCGGGCCCATCATTGAAGAATTACGTAACAAAGCTTGAAATGGTCAAGTACTACTGGAAGCCGGACGGATACGACCCGACGGTGTTCTTCCTGGAGCTCGCATGAACTTTGTACAGAGGAGAGACTTCCTACAGGGAGTGAAGGAAGGAAATTCTAGAAGTCTATGACGGGAGAGAAGGGGACGATCCCACCCAACTCTTCCTAGTGCTGCAAGGAGTTTGTGGTCCATCTTGAGCGGAGAAGTACAAAGTGGGTTTTTTTTTTTTTTTTTTTTTTTTTTTTCTACGGAAGGAGGAGTCGTTGCTTGTTTTCTACATCATCTGCGAAAATTGGCCAACGAGATGGGTCAGCATGAAGAGTGATAGCTGGTGTGGAAGTTTGTGTGCAGGTTGTAGGACCTGTTGAATAAGGACGTGCGTCATTAGGTCTATGCCGTGGGAGAAAATTTAACGCTAAGGGAAGTGTATTTGATAACAAAGAGAGTGGAAAGCGCACAGCGGGTGCCAGTTTTTTTTTATCTTAGTGGGTTGAAAGTATATTTCACAATCTACAAAAACTCCTTACGAACACAACCGGTTCTAGAGGGCCTATATATTGTGTACCGTACTGTTCTACGGGGGTTTAAACACCAAGTGCCTGAAATTCTCATCTTGCCCATGTAGAGTCATTCTTTCAGTGTTGACTCCCTTGGACCATGGGTGAACCCCTTGTTGAAAGTGATGAACAGTGGTTGCAGCAGTTGAGAGCGGTAAAGAGTGGTTCTAGCAGTAGTTGCATTCAGTTGCTCTGTTAACAACAGGTGAAACGCTATGGTAGGAACTATTCCAAAAACACTATGCCGAGAAAGCATAGCACAACACATCATCACATGCTTGTCATCCTGGTAGGAAACCCACACTTCAGTTCGCCAGACGAGAATTGCATCAGCCGCATGCTGGAAGGTTATTTAGGGCCGTCCATAGCACGACTGGTTGAAAGTAGGTGGGGAGCAACTCTATTGTCTCAGCCTTCAGGTGCGGATCAAGACCACCTTCAGGATCATCATTGAAATAAACTTCTTCGTCGGTCTCTGCTTCGGCTACATCCATTTTTCCCACTTCCTCTTTACGTGGTGCTTCTGGAAAAGATGAAAAGGCAACATTTACTTG